TGTACAAAACGAGCTGATCTTCATATGCCTGTAAGCTTGTATGCCTGCAAGTACATGTGTATGCATGTGTAGATACCCTCCAACCTATGCATCCAGCCATCTACCTTTCCTTGTTTTGATCCATCAATCTCGGTCTATCTGTGTGTCCATGCAATCCATCCATCTACTATTTGTATCTATGTATCTACCTATCTGCCTAGCTAGCTATCCATCCACCTAGCTATCTAACCAGCTAGCTGTCTATCTATCTGTCTGTCTGTCTCTTGGTCTGTCTTTCTGTCTACCTGCATGCACTATGCTGTGCCTGATACCATACTGGCATACATTTATATTGTGCATATATGCACATGTGTGAATGTGCCGGTGTGTGTGTGAGAGAGAGAGAGAGAGAGTGTGTGTGTGTGTATGTGTGTCTGCGTACGCATGTGCGTGTGACTATCGCTGCATGCATGTATGTACTGAGTATGCATGTACGTTGGATCGTTACATGTGTGCGCACATTAAACAAGGATGTTTATGTATATGTTCAGAGCTGTCCGTTTCTTTGTTTGTAAGTAAGAAAGTCTCCGTCCGTGTGTGTGTGTGTGTGCGAGCATATCGTGATAGTAGTTGTCTCAACCTTGGTATGTCTTAGTCATACTAGCGACTAGTAGCCGTGGTATCCGTATCGGCAACAACAAACAAGTGATGGCAGAATTACTACCAACTGACAGAACAACCACAACAACGACAACAGGAATACTGAAGATGCTGTGAACGATACGAACATCATTCTTAGCATTAACATAACGATATGAGATGAATACTGACACGACCAACACTCATCCACAAGAGGGATAAAGAAAGGATGCATAACGTGTGAGTAGGAAAGAGATGTCACGCCGCTCCGGCCAGCAACCCAAAGCTCCAGTGCATTGAAATATCCGACACAACGAACAAAACCAAAACTACAGAACTGAAGAAAGGCTTTGACATGCTGCACCTAAACCCTGGAAAACGCTTACTGATGGAAACGAAGCTGCAAAACTAAATCCCCTCTTAAAACTCACACCCCTGCCCACACAAGGCTAAGGCACTTGAGGTGGCGGGACTCGATCGGCACTTCGTCCGTCTGTACCATCTCCTGGTAGTGCGAGTTGAACCACCTGCCAAGGGCCCAGCATTGGCAAGTTCCCAGAGACTCCGAAAAAATCTCTTCCTGAACCTTTCGCACTTCATCCCAAACCCTAAATGTTGCTTGGCTTCGGGGTTTCGTCTAAGGTTTGGAGGTTTGCTTCGCCGTTTCCTGGTTCTCTTGTAAATCCATGAGGGTTTCAGGGTTTAGGGCTAAGCACCAAACGCAGATGCAGCAAAGGGTATTCAGCCCTGTTGCATAGGATTTGGCCAACGTTTCACACGGAGCATCGACTCTAAGGTGAAGTGTTCAGGGGGTGTCACATGTAAAGGTCTCAAGTCCCGTAGACAACGGGTCCTCTCCTCGGGCCTCTGATGCGCACAGTTCGAGTTTCCAAACAGTGGTGCGAATGCAACCTACCTATAGTCTCCATTGTAGTTCCTTTTTGGGGATACCTTATAAAATCCTTAATACATAATTGGTTAAACCAAAAAAGGAACTACAATGGAGACTGTAGGTACAAAAGCAAGACGACCCGACAATACATGTTCCTAAACTTTCATTCAAACCTTCAAGGCCAAGTCCCTTACGCCAAAGACCTGCTGAAAGCATAATTGCACAAGAGCTTGAACATAACATCTTTTGCATCTTGACAAAAGATTCCTGTATTTCTCAGTTAAAGGGGAATCTCTGCGAGCTGCTACGACCAAACCCGAGAGAAGTCTCCGCACCCTCGGGCTGTACATACTCCATCCTAAAGCATGAAGCCTAGAGACTCAATGCCCAAACCCAGAGCCCGTAATCGAGACCATAAGAGCGGTACCTTTGGAACAAACTCCAGAGCTGATAATGCTAAACCCCAAGCCCGATACTTTTCAATGCTAATCAGAGAACCCAATACCCCTTAATTAAAGAATATACCTTCAATCATACTAATTAAGGCCCCTATAATTTAAGGTCTATTCCTTAATTAAGGTGTATTGGGTTATATTACGGCCCATATATAATTTAAGGTATTTTCCTTAGTTAAGGTGTATTGGGCTCTCTGGGTACATCTCACAACCCAAACAAGACCGTCCGACCGATCTTCGAGGTCGATCTCCTGAGATGAACATCTGGGGGTTTCCGAAAGTAGGGGACCCCTAATATAGTATCCTAGATAGTAGGACCCTTATTATAAGGACCCTCAAAACAAGGTACTCCTTGTTTTCGGAAACTCCCATCTGGGTACTCCAACTTAGGGTCCCCTTTAAGGGTCCTTTTTTCAGATGCCTGCGGGACTCGATTGGGAACCTAAAAAGGGTTTGGGTCTAGGGTTTAGGGTTCAGGGTTTAGGGTTTAGGGTTTAGGGTTTACCTTCTTTGGAGAACTACCCATCTGACTGCAGTGGCGCAAGCTCTGGAGGTTTACTTTAAACTACCATAATCTGGGGTGTACTTTTGGGCCCTGACAAGTAGCTATGAATAGGTACCTCTATAGGAACCAGAAGGGGAAACTTAATGGTTCGCAAAGTGCAACCTAGTAATCTACATATTTTGAAGGTTCTCGTCTCAGTTGCAGGTGGGCTAAGGGTTCAGGGGTCCAAGCACTTATGGTTTTATGAGCCACAGCTTCGGTTTGAGTGCAGAGTCGGGTGTAAAACGGGGGTACACAAAAATGTGAGGTCTTGCTAAAACATTCTACTGTACCACTAATTGAAACCATCAGGAAGGGCATCGTTCAACACTATTCGACTCCTATGTTAGAGTGTAGGGCTGTGTACTGGCTGTGTAGAATTAACTAAGGGCCGCGACTCCCCTGCTCGCTGCAGGCAGGCAGGGAGTCAAGACTACGGGGTCCCAGAAACTTCTACAAGTAGCGAGGGTGTATTAGGATTTAGGATTTAGGGTTTAGGGTTTAGGGGTTTAGGGTTTAGGGTTTAGGGTCCACGACAACCCAGATGACGAACCAAAGCGGGTCGGCGACGGAGACGGATAGAAGGGGGCCAGAGACCATTTGTCATCACGTCCAGAAGGAGGCTAGAACCCACGACACTTCTTCCTGGAAACCTTCTGCTCTCCTCAGCTACCATGTCCCTGGTGGGGTCGAGCCAGGTACAACGGCAGTTGGGACAACACAGTGTGAGGGACCGCACACCGACGATTCATGCCTTCGATTCATCGTCATTTAAAAGACATACACCACCTTCTATAAACCTTGTACGAACCAAAGCGCTTAAACTGAACATTACTCCAAAGCTTTTGGCCCAGCAGCTGTGAAGCCAATGACTTTCCTTGCAGCGGGACGGACAAGATGAGATCTGTGCGAACATCTGGGAGTTGGAAACTCGGGCTAGTGGCCTGCATAAAACGGCATATGGCCCAAGACCAACCAGTCCGAGACGGAGACCTACATACGCGGACTTGAGAATTATGAGAGGCGTTTGGGGCCTGTTCTGGCATAAAAGATAAATAAATAAATACATGAATACATATATATATATATAATATTTAAACATGGTCACATATGAACAAATAATTAAATAAATAAAAATATATATTATATATTATTCATTATATATATAAGGGATATGGGGATATGTTATTTCGAGCCTTTTATTGCCCTCCCAACCTTGATCGCTGACCAAAAATAGGAAGCAGGATATGAGTGGGCATGAAAGGTGTCAAGGTTGTCCTTGAGAGATCCAAGCTTCACAAAGGTTTGCAGTTCAGGGCCCCTAAACCCTCAACCCTTCAGAAATATCGAAATGTTAACTTAGGGCTTCTGCGCTGGCAGCTAGGCCGCAGAGAAAAGAGATAAGATTGTAGCATCGCCTCCCCGGAGCTTGTAGTTGAAGACAATAGTGCCCAGGGTTGACTACCCATGGCCTACATTGCTATTCTTCTTCTTAATTAAACCAAACTATTCGTTCGTACCTACAATGATCCTATAAAGTAAGCCCGACAAAGGACCTACAATGGTGACTATAGGTACTATCTGGAATCTCACATCATACACGCAAAGATCAGTCAATATCCTTTGCAAATAGTCCCGAATGATGCTATGTCCCATAACACAGAGTGACCCAGCATGTGCTCGCGACCCCAAGCGCGGAATGTCACGAATTCTTCACTTGAACAGACCGAACCCTATATGCACCTGTGCGGACCTTGTTTTTTTTCAGATACTTCAGTCACACGAAGACCGTAAACCAATTTCCGAAAGGCCCTGAAGATCGCGGCCGATTGGCTCTGACGCACCGGATGTGAAGCTTGCTGGAATGACCTGTCAGAGGGCTTCGCGGGGTTAGGGCTTAGGGCTCCATCTAATTATTGTGGGTCTAGAGTTTGAGGCTAGGGCTTTGGGGTTCGCTGGGTTTGGGGGTTTGGCGCGTTGAGCCCTAAGAAGTTCAGGGTTTTAAGCTTTATCCTTTAGTTCCTGACGAGGGTCAGCTGTGGAGCTTTGGAGAAGGCAACCACTGACCACAAGCGCCGGGAGATTCGGCTGTGGATGCTTAGATAACTCTTCAAAGTGATGCCCTGAATGCTAAACCTAAATCTTTCACAAGCCTTTGATGCTAGCCCAGGCTTAGAACCCTTGAGGCCCCTTGAAACCTCGACAAGTTTGCCTGAGGATTTGGGTCTATCGCTTGGAGGAATCTTAATGCCGAAAGCAGACATCTTCAGGGTTTAAAAGTCTTTATTGCTGGCCTCGGGCGTAGAATCTTGATTTAGGGCTAGGGTTGCTGCAAGTATGTTGGTTTAACATTTAAGGGCTGGGGTTCAGGAGTACAGGGCAGGTTGGGGTTTGGAGTCTATACATAATCTTTATACATAATCTTTATTTTACAACTTCGGGTGATGATCTCAACGTTTTGTTTGCCGGGGGGTCCATGCGTTTCGGTATAAGCTTTAGGCTCACCATGAACATCTTGAATTAAGACTGCATACTGACAAGCAATTGCGACGACTCTCCACAAGCACAATTTCTCCCCAAAAAAAACAAACAGTCAAGCCTGTCGTTCTGCTACGCATGGGTTTAGGACTGGTTTACGGTCGCTCGGTGGTCGCTCGGCAGTTGGAGCTGGAATTCAGGAGGTTATGCTTGAGCAATGCTTGAAGCAGCAAAGCGTGAGGCTTCTAAATTGAATTCCAAACCCTATAAATCTCAATGCTGCTCACAAAGGACCCCTGCCTCCACCAGCGAAAGGGTCATCACACCTGTCGGCAACCCGATCCGCAGAATCCCCAACCCCAGAACCGACACGAATATCTGAAATCACAACATCGAAACCTAGCCGAGTTATTGTCGTTTTGAAACCAGCGATGCGCGCAGGGGATCTTGGTTCCAGACTCCGGTATGTTATGCCTCAATTTTTTTGATTTAACGTTCATGATATGTTCATAATAACCTGTTTCTAATTTACAAGCCCCCCTTTGTAAAAAAATGATACGGCATGAGGATTCATGAGGCTCCGTGAACCGGATTTTTTGAGGGTGCAGTGGCACTTGTTTTGGGGGTTTAGGGATTTAGGGTTTGATTTAGGGACTGGGGGTTTCGGGTCCAGGGTTCATGGTTTCAGGGTTAAAGGTTTTACTTTACGCTCCCGCAAACCGGACACGACCAGCCGAGGTCTCGGCTCGCCGTTGGTTACAGTTGGAATCTTGCTCGAAGCATAACCGACCACCACAAGATGAACTCAGCAACCACCAAGTGCTCGTCTGCAGAAAAAGGAGCGACTGCCCCCCCCCCACTAGTCGGACATGAAACACCGTGAACAGAACAGATTCAACATCACTTTCGAGGCACAACCCAAGCCATCTCGAGCTACATCAGGACATCGTCTCGACCGCCACCACCACCATCACCACCACTGCCACTAGAGCTTGGACTCGCCTGGCACCTGTATTCGCAAGGTGTACGGAGAATTTGCCAATTCCAAGCCACCTGATCAGCCCGGCATCTAACCGAAGAACCTCCCACTTGCCACCAGTCTGCAAAAAGAGGAAGGCACTGAGAGGGGGAGGGGGGGGGTCGGGTGGGGGTGAGGGGAGGGAGGAGGGGGGGGGGGGCATGGCACCCACTGCTGCTGCTACTACTACTACTACTACTACTACTACTACTACTAGAAGTCTCTAAGCAATTATCAAGCTAAGTCGAGGAACGGCATGTGTGTTAGCGGTTAAGCCAGCGAGCGAGCGAATGAGCCAATGAGCCAATGAGCGAATGAGTGAGTGAGTGAGTGAGTGAGTGAGTGAGTGAGTGAGTGAGTGAGTGAGTGAGTGAGTCAGCGTGTGTGTGAGCGAGCCAGTGAGGGGGTTAGGCAATGACTGAGTTTGTAAGTTCGTGAATGAGTGACATCAACGAAGCATCTCAGTACTACGTCGCTGCTGACGTTGTGGCCTGGTTATCTCAATCTGCAACTGAGCAACTTGGGAACAGTGTTCAGCTCGAATCTTTTCCATCCACGTAATTCCACCAGTGCCGTGTGTATGGCGTACGGCAAACGCTCTGGCACCTTGTCGGCGGAAATGTGTTTTTTGTGAATGTCCTCTCTCATTGGACGTCGAGAGCCCTGCACGCTTTCCTGTCCGGCTACAACAATCTTCCCGACGAGGTTGGCGGCTTGCTTCCGCATCTCCTGTCCGGATACGCTTTACTGGACTCAGATACAAGCATATCGTACAACCACTATTCTTCTTTTTGTCTTTCAGTTTGAGGGACATGTCAAGGTTTGTTCATTTTCGTGCCTCGTCTACAAAGTAGATGTTCATATCCAGACAAGTGTGGTATTCTCCGAGGATGGCTTCCAAATGCGCCGTCTGGAGACTTTGACCCACGCCACCTGAGCCGATACCCCAGAAGGCACGGCCCACGTTCTCACCGCGCAAGGCGAGAGTGAATGAGGCCATGAAGACCCCGAAGGCATCCGCGTTGCCCCAGTATAGGTAGTCTGCCAGAACAGGTGTACTCTTTCCCTCACGTGATCCGCAACCGGATCCAGCAGTCTGTGCGGAAGGTAGACATAGACATTGTTGGATGCTTTTTGGGGAACTGCCTGCAATCCATCATCAATGAAAATGACGGAGGCATCGGTTGTGCAAAAACCACCGGAGGGCTGAATGTCGAGAGAACACCACTGAATGTCGTACTTGATGAGACTATCATTGAGCAAGGAGGTTTGCCTGGGAGGGTTCACTCAGAAACAATTAATAAACTAAATAGAACCCGGTAAACTATGTATTCAACACGAAGCGTTTTTCACTGTTTACATGAAACAAGCGGCAACTTCACATAGAGCTTGCCGATGATCAGAAACTTCTTGCATCGTGCAAGAGTGCCTTGGGGAATCACACCCTGGTAGGCATTCCAGTGACCATGTTCAGAGTAGAAGAAACATTGTCCATTATGGGCACGCACATGTCTTCCGGACCCTTCGATGAGCTCGAGGAATAGGACTTCCTCCCGCCGGCTGATATCCAGAAGCCGAAGTTGATGGACAGCTACGGCCCCTTGGACCACATGACGAAAAGTGGCCGACCATGCCGCACTGGGAGGATATGCTGCCATCATCGTTTCGAGTCCGCCGATCTCCTGGAGGATGCTCCCTTCGGCAGACTCGTGGTCGGAGGACTGCTCGGGGATGGAGGACATGTCGAAATCCGTTTGCATGAACTGGCTCATTGTATTCTCCTGAGCTTCTCTCTCCGCAGATTCTTGGGCTTTGTGTCGCTTCGAAGATCGTTCGTCTGCACTGGGTATTTCTGGAAGCATATCTGCATAGGTGTCCATCCCCTGCTCCAGCATCTGCGAGAATCATGGCCCGTTCTCTCTTAACTCCCACCACGTAAATCTCGAGTCTCTGCAGAAAGGTGTATTTGTGACTGTCTATCATCCAATATCCAGCTCATTAACTTCTCGATCTTGTCCTGCATCATCGGCACGTTGACGATGAGTGGCTGCGGCGCATTATCCGGATGCAAGCACACTATCCTAAGTTCTGTCACGTTGATGTCATAGTATCTCAGCAGGATCCAGGCGTAGATGTTCACTGGAGTCCGATGGTGCCAAAGGACTGAATCTGGAACGTCGTTCATGGGAAAGTGCATCATGCGTCCGTACGCAGCATCCTTGGAACCACGGGCCTTGGTTCTTTTCCAGTCCAGAATGCAATTTTCGTCATGTCGTACGGCCACCGCGTCGACGGAGCCTGCGACGTCCTCTGCTTCACTGTAGACACACCATTCTGTTCTGAATATCAACCATCCTTCTGCCTATAATCCTCGTATGAGCTTGATGAACATGCACATCTCCTCCGAAACAAAGCACACCATCCCACCGTTCAACAAGCACTCGCAGCATGCATGCATCCATGTACCCTGAGCAGCAGCTGTTCGTCGATTTCTTTCCCATTTGTCCAGGATTTCATTGTCTGTCATGCTGACAACAGAAGCTAGATGAGAACAGCCTGGGTGAGTCCAGACAAGATCGCAGATAGCCTGACAGATGGCTCCAACATCTGTCACCTCTGCATCTACCAAATGTCTCAGGATCAGCGTCGAAGGGCCATCCGGTAAATGTTGGTTTATGACCTCCACGACATTGGCCACTGTGTACTCCGCTCGTGGCCAGTTTCTGCCGTTGCGCATCGCACGGAGTGCGTCAGCAGGAGTGAGTTGATGCGTGAGACCATGAATCAAGCTGGTAACCGACACGCTGACTCTGCGCCCTTCCCAAGTGTAGATATGGTCAATGTCCTCAAACTGCAGACTGCGATCTCGAGGGTGAAGATTTACGTGACTCAAGACATCCAACACCTTCATGCCCGCTAGGTGCGTGGTGTCAAAGCCTGAGAGAGTCTCCAACACGATTGTACGCGGATTTCTTTGATCTCTCAGTGCAGGTGGCAGAACAGCATCCCGGTACATAATCCATTAGATGAAGGATCGATGGTCGGCTTTATATACAAACCGTTGTTGTGCCTTCCCGCTGCTCAACCACAGTGCTGCCTGAGGTGCCTGCCAATCCAACTCGGTTGCCGCTTACCTGGCACACGGCTATGGTGAGCTCTAGTCCAGACATGCGGAACAGGCTCTGTCCGCAGTACAATGCAAGTAGAATCTTCTCGTGTGGATGCCTTCGCATCTATGCCTTACTGGCAAGCGGCGCCCAAGCACAGCTACCGACCTCAGGTCGGTGCGGCCTGGTCGCGTTGAAGAAACCCCGCCGTAGCTGCTCGCAGGCTTCACAGTATCCCGGGTCCGTTGTCGGAAATCCCGGATACAGCTCCCCGCTCGCATCACGCTTACCCCTATGGTTAGGAGCGGGCTCGCCGGGAGGAATGAAAGGCCGACGTTCGCGGACTGGGCAAAGCAAAAAGCTGCAATCAGCTGCAGTCAGGACTAGCTCAGGTTCGAACCACGGATACGGCTAGGGGAGCCTCCTTCTTGCTCGCCGCCGCATCATAGGTATTCTCGTCGCCCCCGGTCCCCATAAACCAGGCGGCGAGTTACAGCCGCGAGCGAGACTCCCAAGCAGGGGAGTACGCTGTATAGGCGGGCTATCGCATAAATGCTCGAGCCGCAATCATTTTGTAAGGTTATTGTGTAAGGTTTAAAGGGTCTTTAGGGTATTATTTGAGCCTCGTGAGCTTTTGATATATATATGTATATATGTGTATATATATATATACACACATATAGATATGGAACTACTATAAGGGGGGCACCACTACGAGCTTAAGCCAGGCTTCCCTTTGAGAAACAAATCCAGATAAAGCCCAAAGCCTGAGTACCCTAGCCCAAAAAAAGGTTAACCTTTTGAATTATAGTAGGATTATAAGAGCCCCAAAAGGTTAAAGGTCACCTACTCAGCCCCTAAGAAACCGACCGCTCCAGGCGTCGGCTTTCCCAGCTCTTGCCAGCAAGTCGCTGTTATCTGGAAAGCGAACCTCGGAAACGACACTCTGCCTTTAGGGTGGGCTGTCGCCCCAAATAGGCTAAACCTCAGGGAATAAAAACAAGCAAGCTGAAGTGCACAAATCACGAGTTCCGCTCCAACTTCGCAGTAAAGCTTCGGAACGCCGAAATCTTCGCAACAGTTCAGGGCGTTCTGTTTTTTCGGGCTTAGGCTTTGGAGTGTAGTGCAGCGACCCTACGTCGAGGACCCTAAATTTGCAGGCAAGCCAAAAGCTCCTGAGGTGGCTGGCAAGATCTAAGGTTGAAACCCTGGGCCCCTAGTATGGGCCCTGAACACTGGGATCCTTATATACCTACTATATACCCTATATGTACCCTTAAGGGTCCCTGGAAAGGCCTAAGGGTCCATATTAGGGGCCCATACCTCTAACCTTAGACAAGAGGCATTGGAGAAGGCATGGCATTTATTGAACTGCGGGTGCAGCGTGTGGTGTCGGACCGTTAGGTTGTCTTTCAAGTTGTAGACCTGGGCTGTTGTGGCTTGAGCGGCTGAGGGTTAGGGCTGTTTGAGGTTTGTGGCCCAAGGTTTACAAGACTGTTCGGTTTTGGGAAAAGGGTGCAGGAAACGCTCAGAGTGTTTTCGAATCCCGGGATGGTTGAATTGTGCGAGGGGTGTAATGGGTTATCAAGTCGTGGCTCGTGGCTTGTGCATACCAGTACCAACGGGAGGAAGAAATCTCCCTTTGCCCTGAGAACAGGCGGGAGCTCGATTGGTGGAATGATCGGTTTTGGAGCTGTCCTGAACAAGGATCAAACGTCCCTGCTTGTAACAGGCTATGATGAACAACTCTTTACTTCAAGCCGAGTCCAACAAGTCACCCAATCCCTGTGGACAGGACATCGATATGTCTGCAGGCAAAATGCAGGATCTTGGTCTGCGCCTGGAGAAGCGAAGGGGTTGGAACCTAAACCTTCTGCTTGTGCTTCTGCAGAATGCAGAAACCCTTGACGCCCTACCTTCCACCCTGTGAACCGTCCCACACACTATGCAGCCCAGATGCCCACGCACAGACATTTAAGTATACAGCATACAGTCAGAGCGTAGCCCCACGTACAGCAAAGACTACCCTTAGCACGAATGGCCTGGCCTCCCATCTCGAAGGGTCCTAAGTAGCTATGTAGTTGAATGTAGGGTTAGGCTTTAGGGTTTCTAATACGATTATGGTTTGGGCAAGTATCTCCCACATGGGTCCTTATCATAGTTATAGTAATAATATACCCCAAACCCTATTCTTAAGGCCCCTACATTGTAGAGCCCTTATAGCTACATTGGACACTTTGGGCATCTCACACGCACGAAGCCGAAAACCTCAAGGCCCAAGATCCTCTCCGCTCCCCCTTGTATCAGTCACCCTGAATCCGATAAAACCCTGATTCCTACATAACCCCGGCCTATCTATATATATATATGTATGTATGTATGTATGTATGTATATATATATATATGTGTGTGTATGTGTTTTCCTTTATTTATTTGTTTATGTGTTTATACTTATCTTTGTATTTATGTTTATATATCTATATACATATATATGTACATACCCTATGGACCCTATCCCCCTGTATCCATGCCTACAGCCCTAGACTCTAAATGCTAGAGGAAGACTGGAGGAAGGAATGCAAGGACTACTATAAGGGATTCTATGGGACTATGATGGGGATCCACTCTCCCACTCCCCCTTTAGCACCAGTAACGTTTTGGGGTTTACTTTAACCCCTAATACCCTACCTTTTTACGGACTGCAAATGAAGACATCATAATCGGGAACCCTGAAAAGGTTGAAAGGTTCTTCGGGGTCCAGGTGGGGTTTAGGGGTTCAGGGGTTCAGGGGTTCAAGGCTTAAAGTTTAGAGTAAAGGTGCTCTTGGGGCGCCTCCTGAGTCGACGCGACTCCAGACGTAGCTGGAGCAGTCGGAGTTGCCAGAGGGGGGCATGAGCCCGTCTCCAGACAAGACATACCTCGGTTTCAGGGCGAAATCTTGGGGTTTAGGGTTTAGGGCTTGTCATTGTAGGGTTCATGATGATCCGGTACAGAACCCTCTAGATGAATCCTCCAGTCTTTCACTCGGATCCTTCATGTCATATGGCCCACAGTAAAAAAGCAAGGCTTCTTCCTCAGGGTCTGCATTGCACCGTGGCGTCTGCCTCTTGTTATATTGGGATAAGGTGTGTCCTACAGAGCAAAGCACATGGGACGTCACGTCTCTCTGGTTGCTTTTGTGCTCTGAGCTGTTGTTCTGACCTTATGTTCTAATCAGTAATTAAACACTAAATCCTATTATACTGACATTTGAGACTAAACTGACTTCCAGGGGGTCGCTCAGCCTTACACCCAAGCTCTAACCCCCATTGTAAGCCCATCAAATACGAACGCATGCACGTGGGGTTCCTGAGACACATATACGCATTCATGATGGGTCGCAAGTGGGTGCGATGTGCCTACTTACGTAGGTATATATCACCCCCTTCACAAAAAGGCTTGCCGAGAGACACTGCGAAACCAAAAGATTCTGAGAGGTTGAGGAGAACATGGAGTATAGACTCCCCGCACTTTTCTGAAACCTCTTGGGCGAGAAAACATGAGAAAGTGCGCGGGCGTTCCTTGCACCATGCCCCTAATCCAAAGCAGGTTAGCTGTTTGGTCATGGGTCTACATTACCCGTTACCCATCAGGAAACTAAACGGACCTCCGGCTAAAGGACATCTCGAAACTCTTCTACGACAGAGAGCTTTCCACATTTTTTGCCTGAGCCAGTTTCAGTGTAGGAGTTTGGGTTGGGCTTGAAGGTTTAGCTGTTTTCGGTGGATTTTTGGGTTGGGGTTTACGGGTAATTGTAGGGTTTAAACACGGAGGGATCGATTCCTAAACCCTAAACCCCAAACCCTGAACCCTAAACCCCAAACTGCATGCTCAGCCGCGCTCGCACCACGAGGCCTTTGGATTTGTCAAACCGATCCTTCACTCGATGCAGCAAGCCGTCCTTGGCTGCGCAGCCTTTAGGGTTTAAGAAACCCTAAACGCTAGACCCTAAACCCTAAAACCCTTTCACCCTAAACCCTCAAACCCTAAAGCCCTAAAGCCTAAACCCTAAACCGTTTAGGGATTAAGGTTTCGGTGCCCACACTCGGACACTCCAGGCGAGGCAGGGACTGAGGTTTAGGGTTTAGGGATTAAAGTTTAGGGTTTAGGGTTTATGGTTTAGGGTTTAGGGTTTAGGGCTTAGGGTTTAGGGAATTAGGGATTAAAGTTTAGGGTTTGGGGTTTATGCAGAGCTGCCTTTTAATAATTAGAATAAGGTTCCAGGGTATATGTCACTAGAAATTGGAACATTTTCAGGGTGTGCGGACATTAGTATAGTTGTATAGGGGACTACAAGAGAATAGTGCTACCACTTCTGGTGACCCCTTCTTCAGCTGGCTCCATGGCACCCCATCACTTTCCCCCCCGAATGGTCTCCTTCTTCTGAATTGGTTTAAGGTTTAGGGTTGGGCCGACATGAGGTATGCGGACCAGAGTGACTCTGATGAACACAGGGACAGGAAGGCTTGCACAGAGAGCCTGCTTCCAGAACATCTTCCGAAGGCCCGTACTCAGTGCGACCCTAGAACCCTAAATCCCTGAAACCCTAAACCCTGAAACGCTGACCCCTCGACCCCTGAAACCCCTAAGCCCTACACCCTCAAAAACAACGACGGAAAAGTCGGGGAGTCTCTGTAAAGGTTCAGCTGCGAGGCAAGGAGGCAGGATGTAAGCAAAGGGAATAGAGTTAGGGTTTAGGGCTTAGGGTTTAGGGTTTACAGGGTTTAGGGTTTAGGGTTTACAGGGTTTAGGGTTTAGGGCTCATGCTCAACAAGTAGCTGGTTCCCTGTTAGGGCTATGTTAAACATGATTGTTAATCCTTGTTGGGTTTTATTATAGCAAAAAGGTAAACTTGTAACCAACAAGGACCCAGGCAGAAGTGGCTTCCAGAACTCATGCGTTACAGATTTACAGTGCTGATGTTAAGTGTGGTTTCTCAGGCTGTGTCAACCGATGCCGTTGGGGTTGAGTCTCGATCACGATGGAAACGCTTTAGCCGAGATTCCCACTCTTCCTGTGACATCGGTGCCTGATGGGGTTCCAGCCAGATGTGAGGTGTGGCACGACGGAGAAGAGTTAGGCATCAAATTATGCTCCTGCGCTGTAGCCGACATGATGACACGATGTTGGCCTGGGGTATCTTGAGTTTGAGGTTGGCATTAGGTCGAAGACATGCTGACCCTGTCACTCGCATACTTGTTCATCAAGACTTGCCACCGAAGGATCGCAGCCCCTACAGGCTGCCAGACCAAAAGTTAACACTCCCTTTAGGGGTGCAGTACGAGTTCTCTCTAAACACTGTCCGAACTGCTGAAGCTTCTATAGTCTTCGTAAATTTCCCAATGCATTATGAAAGCCGGCAACCTGTCTGCTAGCCTCACATGCAGAGACCGCTAAACCCTGAAACGCCGTACAAGTCCTACATAAACCCCGGAACCATTTAAACACTTGAACCCTAGGCCGATTATGGCCGCAAGCTTCAAATTCTGCCCACTGAGCTCTGCACATGCTCGGATGGCTTCTCTTTATCTGTCTCCCTGCCACGGAAGGTCAGCGCAGTCGATGTATTAGCTCAGTTGGTCTTCTCATCTAACTGTCACGAAAAACAGCATGGACTCGTCGCCATTACCACTCGGACAGAACCACTACTCATGGGTCATCGTGCCAGTGACGTGACCCCAAGCGCTCTCTCGCTGTGTCTCCAGTGTCACTCTCGCTCCAAGTTCAGCAACTCTCCACTTACTCTTTGTTCGCACCCTTGCATTGCATGGAATGCGGCATATTTTCTACTATTTAATGTGGTGTTAAGATTACTTCCACTCACGCGCATGCTTGCTTGTTTCTTTGTGCGTGAGCGTCTGTGCATGCGTGCAAAGGTCTGCTCGTGTGGCACTACTTCCGTCAATCTGGATGCTCTTTAAGCGTATCTGCGTTATCTGCAAGCTTTCAGGTTGCGTTAGGCGTTATGCTATGCCATTTAGGCGTAGACCCTAAGCCGACTCATGCTTATGGAACTCATGAACAGGTCTCGGGTCTCATGTAAGCCAGTAGAAGCTTACCGAACTTATGACTTGGGATAGAAGCAGCTCGAAACAGAAACTGTTTAGGGTGTAGGGCTTAGGGTTTAGGGTACAGCTCATGCTCCTGCACGTCACTTGTGGCTGGTAGCAAAGAACTTCAAGTCAGAGACTGCTGCGAAACGGAAAGAGAACCTCAACGCAAGGACAATGACACCCAACCTACACTGCGACCGCTGGTTTGGTTGAAGCCGTTCACACACAACCCATAGAAGACGGGTGCAGTCTATGAAAACATGTGTATATGTTTGCATGTTTTCTGTCTTGTCGGTTTGCTGCCTCGCTCTCTCTCGCCCTCTCCCTCTCCCTCTCGCTCTCGCTCTCTCGCTCTGGCTCTCTCGCTCTGGCTCTCTCGCTCTCTCTCTCTCGCTCTCTCTGTCTCCTCCCGGCACAATACTCCCATTCATTGGCCTGTCGAGCTCCACAATTCTAACGCAATACCTCGGCTCCAGATGGGCTTATCTGCTTGGTCAGCCCACACTATGGGCAGATTTTGGAGTTTAGGCGTAAGGGGATTAAAGATCATGGATTGTTGGAATTCTGCTTTTGCACGCCGTGCACAAAGCACCACATCGATGTGTAGCATCGAGGCTTTAACTACTAGATAGGGTTTCGGGAGGTTCATGCACTAGAGTTGTATTCACGAACCTAAGGAATAGTAGAACTGTTCATTCAGACCGGCAATCCTTGTCGCGCGGCTTCAAGGTGCCAAGGTCGCGGGGTTCCCCCCACTCGCTGCCGAGGAACAGCATCCTTGGAGGGTGGAAAAGTTTGGTAACTAGAGGGGCATGGATAACTACAATAAGGTGTTGGTTTAGGGTTTAGGGTGAATAAGGTGTGGGGAAAGGGGTTATGGTATCATAGTGAGACTATAGCAACGGGCGCGAATGGATGAGATTGCCGATCATTCAGGCTTCCATAGAGGCATGAGGTTCAGGGATGCGGGTTAGGGACCAAGGTCTAGCGACTTTCTAGCCCCAAATCCCAAAACCTTACACCGCCATACCCAAACCCCAAACCCCTAAACCTAAACCCCCTACACCCTAAACTCTAACCCAAAACCCTAAACCCCTTACGTGAGGTCTCAATAGGGGGACCTAAGGAAGCCTTCAGCCCCTGGCTCAGGGATGGTAGGGTTTAGGGTTTAGGGTTTAGGGTTGAGGGTTTAGGGTTTAGGGTTTAGGGTTTAGGAAAAACAGCGAAGGGCCATGGCCCGATTTTGTGGTGTGTTGCCCAGGAGCTCTGAACATCCCTCGTATAGGGGCCTTAAGAATTAGCATCGGGTTTTTGGGGCTCATTATACTATGTTTGAGCTCTAAACATGCCTAATATAGGGGCCTTAGTAGTTAGAATCGGGTTTTGTGGCTCATTTTATACTATGTTTATAGTGAGGAAGCCCCAAAATATTATTGGCAGTTCTTTAGGCCTCTATATTAAGCCCGAAACTAGGGTTTTTTGGCATCAGATACGGGTCTTGGGTTGATTGGTGGAAACGACGGATTCCCTTTTTTGGGGCCCGGACAACTTGGGTTTAGGATTTTTTGGCGCTCACACTCGGACAAAGCCTGGCAAGGTCTGCAGCGATACTGTCATTGTGTGCTCATATACCACACATCAAAAGTCGATATCACTTTAGGAGTTAGGGCAGAACGGAGATGTCGGTAAAAAAGCCTCCAGAGCTGTTCCTTGAAACAGACCCCGGCTCCGAAGCCAATTATAAGCACCCTATGAAAAACACCTCGAAACGAAACAATTCCAAAAAAATGGTTGTTTCGTTAGGTTTAGTATCAGGGTTACGGCTTCGGGAGAAGAATGATTGAAGATGCCTGCTGAATCATGCATCGTCGAAGAGCAAGTACCCTCTACACGCTACACAATGAAACCTATAGACCTAACACCCCAAAGCCCTAAACTGCAAGGAAAACATCCGCTGAGACGCGTCGAGGCGTAATCTGTCCTCGGAGGTGCACGGGGTTTGAGAGTAAGGAATGCTTGGACGCATTGCTCTCGGGCTTAAAGCTAAGGGGTTTACCGGTTCGCCTGTTATCAAACAACTCTTGAAGAAGCGAATATGCAAGTTGTTATATGAAGAAACCATCGCAAGGAAACTGTAGAAAATCGAGGGGCTTGTGGGTTGCAGGCAGGTCTCAGTGTTTTCTTGTGTTGGAAGTCTTGGACTCGAGCCACATCCAATTTTAGTAGAAATGTACGGGCCCTCAACATCCTCTATGTGTGTTAACCTCCAGTGGACATGCCTTCCTCAGGAGGCATGATCTCGACAAGCAGGCTTGCATGAAGACAGGCTGAGACAAGCGAGTAGGTGGTACACGTAAGGATAATGTAGGGGCCTTACTAATTAGAATAGGGTTTTGGGGTATATTCTACTATACTTTATAATAAGGGACCACCAAAAGTGTAGTATTGGTGACTATTTATGGATATTTCTATTGCAGGAAAGGGGGAAACTCCTAAGCTCCAGCACGGTGACGGAGCTTGGAGGCTCCTTAGTTGTAGTATGCTTACGGGGATCACCCACCTCACACTCCCGAAAAAATTCCCGGGAACCGTATGCCCGCCAAAAACTGGAACCCCTCAGACCCTCAAGCCCTAAAATCTTCAACCCTGCAGCCACTCCCTAAACCCTAAACCTTAAACCCTAAACCCTTAAACTCGAAAACGAACCCTCGTTTGCAACTGAAACTCCAGGGCCTAAGCCCCAAGATCCTAACCCCTTTAGTACACAGGGATCCTGGACCCTGTACGGCTTTAGGGCTTCAGGGCTTTAGTGTCTTAGGGTTGGGTTCTAAGGGTTTAGGGCTAGAGGGTGTTAGGGCTATAGGGTGTTATGGTTTAGGGTTTAGGGTTTCAGGGCTCAGGGTTTTAGGGTTTAGGGTGTAAGGGGCTCGCCCTTACCGTAAACCGTCTCGCAATCCCAAGCCCTCCCTAAACCCTATAAACCCTAAACGGAGGCGAAGAGTCTTTTCCGGCTCCAGACTTTCTTCAAGCTGCGCGGCATAGTCCTTGGTTTCAGGTTTTGGGGATCTACGAACAGATGTAACATATGTACGTATACATGTACATATATATATATATATATATATGTATACATAAAGGTTTATATGTATCACCTAATATATGCTTTGGCAAACACCATAGAAATGGCGCAAGAGGCACATCGAAGAAGCTGTTTGTGACCGTGCTGCACGTTGGAGCAGAACGTTGCTCACATCGGTAGTCGTTGCTATGAGTGGCAACAATCTCAAAGAAGCTGAACTGACCGGCCAGACTGGACCGACGGAAGTATCCAGGGAGACCCACTGCGTCCAAGTATCTGAAACTACGGGACTCTCATATGGATAATTCTCTAAAGAGTCCTTCTTATAAGATCCAAAAAGGGAGCCTAATGTAGAGAACTACCCATGTCGAGAACCTGAAACTCTCGGATCCGCATGATGAAAGCCCTTGAGAGGGAGCCCGCGAGTGCAGGAACCCGTCACAGCAAACATCCCTAAACCCAAACTGAACTCTAAAAACCCTAGACCCCCCAAAAAACTAAACATCCCTAAACCCTATAAACCCAAAAAGCCCTAATCTAATCCCTAAGCCCAAAAAACCACCAAACAAAAACCTGATTCCTACACCCCTCAACCCCAAAACCTGAAAAACAACCCAAACAAACCCAACAAAAATCCCTAAAAGCCCCAGAAATCTCGAAACCAAGGCCCAAGCAAACCCAAAAAGCCCCAGAAATCTCGAAACCAAGGCCCAAGCAAACCCCCAAAAAGCACCAGAAATCTCGAAACCAAGGCCCAAGCAAACCCAAAAAAACACCAGAAATCTCGAAACCAAGGCCCAAGCAAACCCCCCCAAAAGCACCAGAAATCTCGAAACCAAGGCCCAAGCAAACCCCCAAAAAGCCCCAGAAATCTCGAAACCAAGGCCCAAGCAAACCCCCAAAAAGCCCCAGAAATCTCGAAACCAAGCCATGGCTAAAGAAAAGGCAAAGCTCGGCATGCTTGTCCAATCCTGCAGGCTGCTTCAGGACTTTAGGAGTTCGGGGTTTAGGGTTATAGGAGTTTGGGGTTACCCTAAACCCTTTTCAGCACGGACTGAGGTACCCTAAACCCTAAACCCTAAACCCTAAACCCTAAACCCTAAACCCTCTATAGGGTTGTAGGAGTTTGCGGTTTAGGGCTATAGGAGTTTGGTGCTTATGGCTTGGGAGTCTTTGGGTTTGGGGTTCAGGGTTGGAGTCTAAGGGTTTGGGGTTTTTGGTTATAGGAGTTTGGGGCTTATGGCTTAGGAGTTCGGGGTTTAGGGTTTAGGGTCTAGGAGTTTGGGGTTTAGGGTTATAGGAGTTTGGGGTTTAGGGTTTATGGCTTAGGAGTTTGGGGTTTAGGGTTATAGGAGTTTGGGGTTTGGGGTCTATGGCCTAGGAGTTTGGGGGTTGGGGTGGGAGTCTAGGAGTTTGGGGTTTAGGGTTATAGGAGTTTGGGGTTTAGGGTTTATGGCTTAGGAGTTTGGGGTTTAGGCTTATGGGAGTTTGGGATTTAGGGTTTATGGCTTAGGAGTTTGGGGTTAGGGTTGGAGTCTAGGAGTTTGGGGTTTAGGGTTTATATGGCTTAGGGGTTTGGAGTTTGGGGTTGAGGGTTTAGGGTCTAGGAGTTTAGGGTTTAGGGTTAAGGGTCTAGGAGTTTTGCGTTTAGGGTTAAAGGGTCTGGGTTTAAGGTTTAGGGATGTTTAGGGTCTAGGAGTTGTTAGGGCCTAGGGCATAGGAGTTTTGGGTTTAGGAGTTTAGGAGTTTGGGGTTTAGGGCTTCGGAGTTTAGGAGTGCCTGGGTTTCGCTCAAACGACCGAGGACGAGGATCTGTGATAGATTGAATTTAACTGGGATGGCCCGTTAAAGCCTTAAGAAAAAGAGCCCAAGATGCGACATTATACGATAGCCCGACTAAGGCCTACCTGGCCTACCCATTTAATATCTGCACACAGCGGGGATGCAGAAATTGATAGCAAACAAGGATGACGACATGTAATATCGCATCGTGCCGGAGACGTGCCGTTGCGCTTCGATCATCCGTACTTCGCTCATCCTAACCGTCTTACATATCCATTCCGGCCAAGAGAAAAATGAGCACCGGACAGCCACATCAACATAAGAATCTCTAAAATCCTGCGCAGCGCCGCCACAAACTACTGTGAGGATCCTTCTGTTGAACCAATAATTCATCGAGTGTCTTTGCGAATCTTCTAACTGTGGTAGGAGCTTGTTCGACTTTTCAATCTCGAAGTCAGTTAGCTTCTCCCTAAACCCCTAAACCCTAAACCCTAAACCCTACCTTTGCCCTAAACCCTAAACCCTAAACCCTACCCTTGGGGTGCCTTACAGCACAATTTGGATTCTTGCCTCGGCTCGACAGTCTCCCCCCCATTGAACATGAGGGTGCTCTTTTTCATACTCACGGTTTAGGGTTTAGGGTTCGGAGAACCCAAAACAAAACACAGCAAGGAGATCCCGACACAAAAAATAATAAGGAGACCCCAGCAGACGAAACATGGTAAACGGGTAGCTCTCTAGATTAGGGTCCCTTTTAGGGTCCTTTCTATAAGGGGGCCGCAATTTTTTGGGGACCTGAAAAGGGACCCTACTTTAGAGAACTACCCAAACGGGTATTGCAATAGAACCTCTTTTCTTGGCCTATCCCCTAAACCCTAAACCCCAAAACCCCAAAACCCTTAACCTATCCAAATCCGAGTCACTAGACTCCCGAGGCTTCCAGCCGCACTCTGCCTCTATGACAACCGATCTGCATTCACCGTATTCGGGGGCCTCTAAAATAACACAACCCCGGAAAAGACTCCTGAAACATATTAAATCCCATAAGGTCTCACTATAAGAGCTTTAGGGCTTATAGGTTTGAGGCAAACCCAAACCTGAACCCTAAACCCCTAAACCTTAAACCCCTAAACCCTAAACCCCAAAACCCGAAACGGCGAGCCGCCGAAAGGATTCCACGATACAAAAAACCCGAAACCGGCCAGAGAAGGCCAGTGCCTGATGATGCTGCGGCATGCTGCGGCCACGTAAAGCCTGGTTGAATTGAGTTTGGTGTTCAATTGAGGTGTAAGATTTTAGGGTTCTTCTAGATTTAAGGGTTTACCAAAGCTTTGTGTTTAAGAATTGTTTTAAGGTTCTGGAAATTCCGCCTCAAAGCTTCTAGAGGCTTTCTAGGGACTTCGGGTTCAGGTCATGTCGGGCTCATTAAGGGTTTCTGGGCTCAAGCCACGATGCTGACGGGCACCAGGGTTGAACGCGGGATCTTCCAAACTCGACATGGGTTTTTTGGGGATCAGGGTTTAGGGTTTAGGGTTTGGGTTTAGGGTTTAGGGTTTAGGGTTTAGGGTTTAGGGTTTAGGGCTTGGGGATTCCGGCCGGTTTTGCGGTAAGGTTTGTGGCATGTCATACCGTGCTGGGCACTTACATGTTGCTGCTCGGGGCCACTATGTCTGTGAGTTGTTTCAAGGTTTAGGGTTTGCATGAGCTGCTTGTAGTTTCAGAATTGGAAGAACCGGGCTGGTTGACAGAGATGCGGGTACAAGACAAGGCATCGAGATACTTGCCACAAGAAGTATCGCATCGGATGTGTTTCCCTACTTGTTCACTGTCTGGTTCTGCTGCTACTGCTCCTGCTCGTGCTGACAGCTGAAAATCCTAAGACCAGACTCTAGACACTGGGCCTTACTCTCGTTATCATGCTTCCAAAAGCTTTCAGGTCTTCCCAGAGTAAACACGACGGCCATGGCACTTCTGTTGAAGTTCAGAAGCATCGTGTTCCATTCCTCAGGGTTGGAGAAGTGAAGTCCATTTAAGCCCCAAAGGTGGTGCCCGGCAACTGAGCTTCCAGGGCTGGAGTTAGAACAAAGGATCAAAGCAGAGCCGGTGAGACATCTTAGACTCAGAACCTTGCAACCGTCAAACCAAAAACCCTAAAACTTCCAAACCCTAAACCTACTGAAGCCTAAACCCTAAACCCTAAACCTCCTGAGGCCTTGAAACCTCCGGGCCTACAGTGCCCTGTAGATCTCTCCTCTCACATGCTTTGTCGCCGGGACTCCACGCCGGAAATTGAAGGAATCCTACGGAGTCCAAACGGTCCAAAGTACCTATATATATATATATATATACATATGTATGTATATATATATATATATACATACATACATCTATGAGGGATACTTTGCCCAAGCCATAACAGCAACCCGTATTATCGAAACCATGATTCTACCATGTAGGTGCTATGAGCTTAGGACCCTTTCGGGAACTCCTAGAAACATCAAAGCCTTGCACGGCCGGAAACGAGCGGCCGGAGGGGTGGGCGCTGACGGAGCCTTCCTGAAGCTAACCTCCTCCCTCCCGCCGGGGCCCCAAATGTAAAATTCACGGCAAGTGCGAGCTAGAACTGCCTCAACGACATGGAACGGTCGAGTAGATGAAAGTCCGACTCCCCAACAGCCACGAGCACAAACAAACAGCTGTAACACGGCTTCCAACGTCTCGTGGTCCCTGCCCAAGTTGCCCAGGGTCCCAAAAGGCCCAAATCCCCCAACCCGGCGCTGCCAACCGACTTCCTTAGACACATTTCTTGCTAAGGCTCCCTGTACTAAACCCCTAGAGTGGGACCCTTATACTGACCCTCAAAAAGGAACACTATGGAACTTGACTCTACTTAATAAAAAGGGCCTCAATATTCAGAATAAGGCTCTGGAGAATATTAACTAGACTTGTTTATAAGGAGGCCCGATATAGTAGTGGTAGATATTCAATATAGGGACTTTAACAATTAGAATAGGGTTGTGGGGCCCATTATACTACGTATGTTTATAATAAGGACGCCCCAAAATAATATGGGTAATTATTTAGGCCTTAGGCCCCTGTCTTACTCCAGTTCTTAAGGCTCCTGATGCCCCAAACAACCTACCTGCCTAAGGACGTTTATAAATGAATCCTTCTTGAGGCCCCCGTGTTTTTGGGGGGGTACCTAGTTTTCTTTCTAGAAGATCCTAACCAGAAAACTTGGTACCCTGAAAAACTGTTAGGGTATGACACTCTCTATGTAGTTCGCAAGGTCTCAAGGGCCCCGATGCTGACCATGGAAGCCGGGGTGCACTCTCTTCAGCTCCGTCGAGCTCCTCCAGCTGCTTCTTCAGGAAGCGAGCCTTTCAGAAGCCACAATTTAGGCTCTTTCGGAATTTTCATGTGTTTCAAGTCTTTTTTGGGGGTTCGAATCCATGCGAGTTCAACTTATTTATGGTTTGTTGAGGCCGTTGAATCTTGTAGTGTTTTGTGAGGGTTTAGGGACTAGGTGGAGGCTGTTGCTGCGTCGTGCTGGCGCGGCTTCTTATCTGCCTGCCGTGTCCTGGATTGGCTTTGCGGGCTTAGGGTCTAGGGTTTAGGGGTTCAGGGGCTTAGGGTTTATGAGTTTGGAGGTTTAGGGGTTTAGAGGTTTAGAGATTTAGGGGTTTGGGGGTTGGGGCTCGGGGTGTGTAGGTTCGTTGTCTTCACTGGTTCTACCGGGAATCGGTGAGCCTCTTCAGATGCTTTGGGGGAGTTCCTCGCGGATGCTGCGGTCTATAAACGTGTTGTAGATTGCACTCTCAGACAGCGAAGAATAAAACATCATCGAAGTCCTGAACTCTGTCGGAGAATGCAAGAGAGGCGCGTTCTCTGCTTCGGTGGCTTCGTCGATCACGGAATACCTGGTAGCCACCGATGCCAAGCGATGAGGCAAGGAAACGCACTGCTGCTTAAGGTCTGCTAAATACCGGGTAACCGAGGATTCCGGAACTCTTTGCAGGGAACATGTCATCCATGATCATCCGAGTCATGGGTATGGGATGAGAGCCCAGTGAAGCACACAGTACAGAGCTGCAGGCTCAATAGGGCAAACATGCCGCAACTGTGTTACTGCAACTCTAACAGAGCCGAGTAGCCTGAACCCTGAAGCCGCTACTTTAATAGCCTCCCCTCCAACCACGAACCCAGTTCTGTTTTGAAAATGCGACTGGTGCAAAGGCGTGGCTCTTTGAAGGCCAGCTGTCGCGCGTTCGACTCCTCGATAGAGTCCACGTCCCAGCCGATCTGCTTGCAAATCCTTCGTTGAAGGTCCACAGTTACCCGATCGGTCCGGCTTGGGGCGTTTAGGGTTTAGGGTTTGGGTCCTGCAGGCTATAGCACCTCAAACCCATACCCTAGTCACAACCAACAACCAAGCAAATCTGAGACCCAAGGCCGAGCCTAAGCCCCGAACTTCAAGATTCGCGACCACAAAGATGAACATAAGTATATATATATATATATATACATATGTGCTAATTCTATATATATATATATATACACACATACATAAGAGTACATATATGTATATATACATGTCTACACACACCCTCACAAGAACCTGTGTCGCAGCAACGGCACGGAAAGGGAAAGGGAACGTTTTCCAGCCAAGCCCTTGGGGTTGGATGGGGTCATATAGGGGCCTGAACAATTTCAATAGGGTTTCGGGGTATACGATACTATTGTTATAAAAAGAAGGAACCCCACAAAAAGTGTAGGTAATTATTCAAGCCACTGTACTATATGCTTTGGTCGCCGTGCTTCGGGCTTTCTGTTCTATATAGGGCTCCAAACTGGGGCCGTGTGCCCCAATCTTCTTGCCGAATGGGGTGTCATGTAGGGGCCTTAAAAACTAGAATAGGGTTTGGGGATATATTATACTATAATTATAACAAGGAACCCCAAACTAATATTGGTAATCATTTAGGCCCCTATAGTAGTTTGGGCTGGGGTGTTTGTAACAGGGAATATAACCATAAACCCCCGCAGCCAGTTGAAAGCCCTGTTATAGAGTGACTGCGAATAGACTGCAGCTGACCTGTGGCCTCCCTTTGAATCCTGAAACCACGCTGTGAACAGCAATTAATAACTAATGCAGGGGCCTGAATTATTAGAACAGGGTTTGGGGGTATATCCTACTATAAGTTTTACAAGGAGCCCCCAAAATAGTGCAGGTAATTGAGGACCCTATATGAACCCCGCAGCTGAACACAGGAACCAAGGTGACACAGCCTGTTCTTTGGGCTAGGGGCCCAGAAGCCCCGAAGCTGTCTTAAAAGCCCGGAGCCCCTAAGAAAAGCAAAACTAAAGCCATCCGCTCTAAGCCTAAAGTCGAAAGAGGCCGTATGTTACATAACACCTTTTACAAACTCCAACCCTCAACGCAAAGTTTTCCTGACTAAACCCTGGCTTGTGTAGAACCAGTATCAATAGACAAATCGTTCCAAGAGTTCTGAAGCAGTTTACTTAGACCTTAACCCTAAAAAAAACCCTATAAACAAGCCCTATAAGCCGTAAGCCCTAAACCCAACCCCCCTAAAGCATGTGCCCCATTACCAAGCCGAGGCTCAACGCGTGGCTCTCAACCTTGTCCTCGCCTCAGTGCAGCTTCGACTGTGCGCGCCCCAGGCTTGGCTTCAGGGTTCAGGGTTTAGGGGTTTCGGGCTCAGGGGATTTAGGCTTTAGGGTTTAGGGTTTACGGTTTAGGGCTTAGGGGTTTCGGGTTCAGGGGATTTAGGCTTTAGGGTTTAGGCTTCAGGGTTCAGGGTTTAGGGGTTTCGGGCTCAGGGGATTTAGGCTTTAGGGTTTAGGGTTCAGGGTTTAGGGCTTATGGGGGTTTGGGGTTTAGGATTTGTTTTTTTTTTGGGGGGGAAGGTGAGGTTTAGGGTTTAGGGGTTTAGGGGTTTAGGGGTTTGAGGGTTTGGGGTTTTAGGGGTTCGGGGTCAGGGCTTAGGGTTCAGGGTGGAAGGCTTAGGGTTCAGGGCTTACAAGTCTAGGGGCCTGGTTGTCGTGCTCTGGAGATTAAGGGTCGCAGGTGGTAGGTGATTGTATAGACACATACATGCATACATACATACATACATACATACATACATACATACGTACATACATACATACATACATGCATACCTACATACAAACTTACATATATATATATATATACATACACACATATACACACAGTATACACACACACACACTAAACCCCAAACCCCAAGCGCTTGTTTCGGTGACCGGCTCGGTCTCATCTGACTGTCCGGTACCCATGGCCACCTCTGGATCCTGGGGGCGCCTTGCCAGAGAAAAAAACAACAACATACCCTAACCCCCCAGGTACCTACTTAGGGTTTAGGGTTTAGGGTTTAGGGTTTAGGGTTTAGGGTTTAGGATACCCTAACCCCCCAGGTACCTACTATATAGGGCCCTGGGGGCTCTAGTACCCTATATAGTAGGTACCTGGGGGTTAAGGAACAACATACTTCGGGGCCGCTGTAATGCGTCTCGAAGCATATTCTAGTCTGCGTCTTTATAAGCAGTGTGTGTCTGTGTGGGGCTACATTGGTGTGTAGGGTAGAGTTCTGGGAGGCTTTAGGGCTTCACGTCGCTCACAAAGGACAGCAAAAGAAATTTCAAATCAAATGCCCGGACCCCAAATGGAGCCTTAAACAGAACCAACACAAGCTCTGTAATTGTGGAAAGAGGGAGCCACGGGCAACTGGAACATGCGAAACGTTTTCATGACCATAAGGGGGGGTGTGCAGTAAACCGACAGATTCAGGCCCTCGTGCTGCAGCCTGAAGATGCGACAAAAGTCCCGATCCAGCACACCCTAAGGCCGTTCTTGCAACAGGCCTCGTTGTCGAGCAGCCCGGTCTAGCCAAACGCACACTCCCCTAACTTACAGCTTCAACTGACACCTCAACCCTGAACTCTAAACCCTGCTAAACCCTACACACCAAACACTAAGCCAAGCCACGGATTTGGGCCACCTTGGCGTTCAGACCTGAGGGTTGCTCAGAAAATCCAAGACGTTCCCAAATCCTTGAATGAAGGAATAGACCCTCTAGGGTTCCTCAAAGGAATCCGTAAGGATTTCTATAAGGGCACATTAAGAATAAAGGAGTATACCTGGAATCATATTGAAGGATCCGAGTTAAGGAACATACCTTACATCCTATTGGGGGTCCTCCTCTAATCTAAGGTATTTTCCTTAGTTAGAGGATATTGGAAGGTGTGAGATCCAAGAACTTCGTTGATTTAGGCACCTAACAGGCTTCCTTTAAGGCTTCCTGTAAGGGGTGCTGGGATACTACAAGACAAGAGTTCGAACATAGGGGCCCTAGTGATTACCGTAAGGTTTCGGGGTTCATTGTAGTACATCCCCCAACAACAGTATTGATGCTCCTTTACGGGGGATCCCTACTAAGCCTTGTTTAGGGGCTACTCATGAAATCAATAATACGGGCCAGTTTTGAACGTTCGGGGTTCCCCGAAATCCATGAGTAACTCTGCTCAAGTTGAGGAAGATTCCTTGATTGTCAAGAGGATCCTCTCCTGCCGGTACGGGTCAGCTCTGCTGATGGATCCATGCAGGAACATGCGGAAGCCAAGTGGTGGTAGCCTGTTCGGCCGGAGCAGGGATCTGAGCAACTCCAATTCTCGTAGAGGTTCACCACGTGCTTTGTGAACTTCAAGTCCAGCTTCAGCACTCACTTGCATCCATCGCTGCTAAGCTTTCATGTCCGAAGTTGGGGCCGCAGGAGCTCCCATCGCACCTTGCTTGCTACCCCTAAGGGTCCATGTACCCAAACAGTATATACATTGGCCTTAAAGTAGTCCCTATATAGGTACTTTGGGGCCAATGTATATATTTTGGGGCACATGGACCCTTAGGGTATTGCGAACGTAAGCTCAAAATTGTTTCTAAATCAGGGTCGCGTGAGGAAGATTCACGGTGACAGGAGCGAACTGTCCATGCTTGGCGCACGTCTCCGCTTGGGTTTTCGGGTTTAAGGGCCAGGGGCATGAGAGAATCCTAAACCCTATAGACACTTATATCCTCAGACACGAGACTCCACGTTCTCTCCATGCTAAGGTCCGGCAACCCTAAACCATAAAACCCCTAAACTCTAAACCCTAAACCCAAAGCCCTGAACCCTAAACGGAAACTCGTGTTCCCGTGAACCCCGGCTGACACTCTGCCAGGCTTTAGCAGTTGCAAGTCTCCCTTGACAGAAACAATCTTGAACACTGGGAGGAGGCTCCAACCCTAAAAAATCAAAAGGAGCCACCCTTTTTTTGAACGAGGTCTCTCTGAAGCATGATGAGGACACCGGTGCTTGTGGAGGCTGTTAAAAATGTAGGTTTTATCACGCTTTTGAGTCGGAAACCTAAGGGCTCGTATTGAATATTTAGTTGTGAGACCCTAGTGTACCGGCCCCTTGCATTACAAGCCATAAACCCAAGCCCTAAACCTCGAAAGCCCCAAAATTCAGTGTCTAAACGCCCTGAAACGGAACAATCTCCTCCCTTCCCCTCCCCTCCCCATCATTATTAGGCACTGCTCCTCCAAACGAAAAGCACACCCCATGCTAAAAACCCTAAACCCGCATATCCTAAACCCTGAGCCCGATTTCTTATCTACTATCGGGTTTTTTTGTTGAACGACCCTTTTTCCATCCTGCTAGAGTCTGAAAAGCGGTAATTCTGCTGGGCGTTTGGAGACCGACCCTACTATCGGGTTTAGGGTTTAGGATTCTGAGACCGATTTCTTCGGTACTATCGGGGCTGGAATAGGGTGTGGGAGTCCTTTGCAACCTCGTGGCGGTCCCATCCACTCTTGGCGGGTCCCGACTCGTCCTCCTCGGGCTCCAGCGCCCCGGAACCGCCCTGCACCGCATGCGCATGACTGTTTTTGCTTGTTTGGGGGGTGGGGGGGGGGAACGAGGTTTCAAAATCGGTAGTACGGTTTAGTACGAGTCTAGGGTTTCGGTTTAGGGCTATCTATAGCTTCAAGGGAGGGTAGTCGTGAAACCTCGTGTTTGATCCTGAACCCGCGATGTTGCTTGGGTGCATCTACACTTCTATTGCTAGTAGCTACGAAGTGTGGCCTTGGGCTTCTAGGAAGTAGGGTGTACGGCTTCGAGTGCAGAGGCGAAAAGCTTGCTTCTAGAAGCCAAGAACATGCGCACAAGACTAAAATCACGAGTAGGGCTTAGGAACAGAGGCCCATGAGATTCCTGTAGGGTTTAGTCGGTTTTCTGTTTTAGACGTCTTCGAACTGTTTAGACATTCTCTTTGCTGAGGGCTTTAGGGCGGGTTTAGGCCTGGGGTCTGCGGGGTATAGTTTTGGTGTCTAGCCAGTTTGTTCACATCATTGTGTTGGGGTTCAGGAAGGGTGCCGGGATTAGAGCTTCCACTTTTGATGTCTCAAGAGCTGTTGTCGATCAGGCTGATGATACTGCTGGTCTTGGGACTGTCACCGCCAAACCGAGGCTTCCGAGCAGATTCCGATCTTAAATGCTTCCAGGTTTAGCGTGCCAAAAAATATATCCCCTGCCTCCTCGTCCTCCTGCTTCTTGATTCGAAATTGCTGCCTTCGGCCGCTTGAAACCGAAAGGATCAGATACATATGCTAGGGCTTGCTTTCAAGCCGGGGTGAGTGTACAAGGATTCCAAACTGACCGGTAAAGCTTTCCGAAGCCTACGTAGCTCTTGCGAGCAAACCCAGCACGTAAGGTCGGGAATGTGCCACGCTTGGGGGGTCGCTCAAGCTCCTTCGAGAAGCAGCTGGGGGCTTTGGCTACGAGGTGGGCCTAAACAACCAGAATAGGGTTTGGGGGGGTATATTATAGTAGGATTATGAGAGGACTATAAGGAATAGTGTCACTATAAGCCCTTCCACCTCTACAGTACGGCAGGTATGGCAGAACCTGTGAAGGATGTTGCGTCTGAGTGCTTTCAACTTCAAGGTCTGGGGTTCAGTTTGACCAACTTAGAGCTTCACCATGTGAGGGCTGGGGGGAGGGCGGGGTTTAGGGTTTAGGGTTTAGGGTGGGGGTAGGAGTTCCGAATTGGGGCTGATTTGTCATCGTGACTGCGTGCGTAGGCAACTTGGGGTTTGTAGGTTTTCGGATTGCAGGTGCCATAGCCCCATCCGAGAAGGGAATCGTCCTGGCGTACATACCTCGCTTCTCTAGCCTTGCCTACACCTTAGGGTTTAGGGTTTAGGGGCTAGTGGAGAACCAAGCCGAGCCTAGTTAGCATATATATATATATATAGAACTCTTTCCAATCTTTCAATGATGAGCGTTTGGCGATCCCTATAGCATCAGGGCTTATGCATCAGTGGTGCCCTAAACAGTAAACCCTAAACCCCCAGAAACCCCTAAACCCTAAACCGTGTCCGTGAGTCTTCGAAGTCAGCCAAGCTGCGCCAACTTCTCACCTGATAGGCTTGGTCTCCGACACTCTGAGCAAAGAGGGTTTTCAATAAATGCAGATGGGTAGTTCTCTAAAGTAGGCTCCCTTTTAGTTTGTAAGGGTGCCGTGCAATATCTAAAAACATGAAAAGGGATCCTAATTTGGAGAACTACCCGAATAGTAACCGCAAGGGCGAGTCTCTTGATTAAAATAGCGCGCTGTGGGAGACCTTGATCTGGAGATCCGACCACAAATCGCAAGTGAAGCGAGGACAGACTACAGATGATCCTTTAAAGCCAGTGCCTAAATCTGACACTGAGCCTGGAATGACTTGTAACTCTAATTCGGCTGAGGCTAGATTTCATGATTTGGCTTGGGGCCCAACAAAAAATGCAGCCACAATCAGTAGCCTGAACAGCATCGTTACGATGCTTAGAGTTTGAGGTTTAGGGGCAGAGCCGGGCGGCCGGGCGGAAGGGGGCCTGCATCCCTTTAGCATTTAGGATGAGGTTCGGGCCGGTGGGGGGAGTGGATGAAGGATTTTGTTCCTTTTAGGGTTGAAGTTTAGGGTTTAGGGTTTAGGGTTTAGGGTTCCTATCAATCCAGACACCGGATAGATTGGAGTCACTTCGCTCTAGATCCCTGTGGGACCAGGATTCTTCTGAACTCATTGGTGCGCTTTTTTTTCTCCAGCTCACGCTCTTGGCTTCTGCCGAGCGAAGTGCACCATCATCTCAGATAAGGGGAAGAGCCTGGGCTAAAGGCAAGAAGGTAGAAGCCCCTAAGCCCATAACATGAATCTTGCTCTTCATGACCATTTGGAGCTTATATCATATACCTCCGACGGAAAGCCCAAAATCAGACACCTTCAGACACATCCCAGACAACATGATCATGACTATAAGGATCAAGTAGTTTGGACCCTGAGGCCTTGAGCCGTCCTGTAACTCTAAACCCTAAACCCCTAAACCCTTTTTTCAGCTGGCTTCTCTCCGCCACAACACCCCTGAACCCTAAACCCTGAACCCCTAAACCGTCTAGGCGCTCCGGATAACTTTGGAGCATCGGCGGCTGGAAGGTCGGAGGTTTGGGGGCCTGAAGCTCTCGAAAAAGGACCCAACAATGAGGTACCTGGGTTTCGGATAGTAGTTATATTAATAAGTAAGTTTCTGGGAAAGTAAATTTGTGTACTTTTTGACCCTTTGGGTGGGTTTAGGGCTCGGGGTTGTTGCGCCTCCTTTTTTTAGGATGGGCTTAAGATTGAGGGCTCACAGGGCTTTTGATGGACGGCCATGGTGATAGGGAAGAGAGTGACGCACGTGCGGAGGATGTGGCTGAATGTTAACAGTGGAGCCTTAAGAAATACCAATGCTATTTTTTTTTGGGGGGGGGCTCCTTATTATAACTACAGTATACCCCCAAAACCCTATTGTAATTGTTAAGGCCCCTACATTAACTGAAGACGGTGACCAGAAGAAAGACTGATGCGCTGCTTTCACCTCAAGAGAGTTTGGTCAACAAAAGCCTCCGTAGATTTATGCAAACGAGAAGTCCGGCTCTCAAGCGCCAAGCCCTTGGATCCGGAAGACATACCTAAAACCGCAAACCCTAAACCCTAAACGACTTAAGCTTCCGAAAATCGTCAGTGCAAAAGAAGCACCACAGCCATAATGTAGGGGCCTTAATACTTATACTAAGGAACCCCCAAAAATAATATTGGTAGTTCCCTAAACCCTATAAAACCCTAAACCTTAAATCCCTAAACCCTAAACTTAAAAACCCTAAAACCCGAAACCCTCAAACCCGAAACCCTCAAGCCCTAAAACCTACAAACCTTATTTAGGTCCCCTCTATTCATCTCCAAGCCGGCCGGGGTACAGGAGCGCTGTGAAAAGGACAACTTGCCAAAACGTCTCCGGAGTCGATGATTTTAGCCTGGGGTTTAGGGGCCCAGGGCTTAGGGTTTAGGGTGTAGGGTTTAAGGTTTAGGGTTTAGGAGACTAGGGTTTAGGGTTTATGATTTTAGCCTGTGGTTTAGGGGCCTTAATAACTAGAATAGGTTTTTAGAGCCTCCATTAAAGGGCTCTATACGGGTTTAGGGTACAGGGGCCTTAATGATTAGAACAGGGTTTGGGGATATATTAGACTGTAATCATAATAAGGAACCCCCCAAAGATTTTTACTTCGATCATCCCCACCCTACAGATACAGGGAGTCTCACGGTTGTCTGTGCGGTTGGGCACTCCAGGGAGTCTCACGGTAGTCTGTGGGGTTGGGCACTGCAGGGAGTCTCACGGTAGTCCGGGGGTTGGGCACTCCAGGAGGTAGTGTCAGTGGGCGAGGAGTAGTAGCTGACTTAAAAAGTCTCACAACCCCACACCGAGGGTGGGGCAAAATAGTATTGGTAATTATTAAGGCCCCAAGTGGGTATTATTATAGAGGACTTGATTTTAGAGACTGGGCCTGTCGGGGGTATGATATCACATAACTACAATAATTACGGCAAGGCAGCCTGCGGCATAGTATTGCTAATCACTGTTCTTCCGATATTCACCGTTGATAAATAAATAAAGGGAAACCACCAACATCAAAAACAACAAAAAACTAAAACCCTAAGCAACAAATACTACGGATGGACCCAGGAGCTCAGGGTATAGCTCATAAGGCGGAGACCCTGCAGCGAGCCATACTGGAATCGAGACGATCCTCTGGGGAGGTCTGCTTCTTTGCAAACCGTTATGCTATACAGGGTTCAGGGTTTATTATAAGGCTTAGGGTTTATAGGGTTTAGGGCTTATAGGGTTTAGGGCTTATAGGGTTTAAGGTTGAAAGGGTTTAGGGCTTATAGGGTTTAGGGTTGAAAGGGTTTAGGGCGTATAGGGTTTAGGGTTGAAAGGGTGTAGGGCTTATAGGGTTTAGGGCTTATAGGGTTTAGGGATGAAAGGGTGTAGGGGTATTGCATGACATGACGGGAGCCTGAAAGCTGAGAGAAGGGTTCTGGGAGCCTGTACTTTGCACCCCGATAGTCACAAAGCAGAATGTATGTGTATATATATATATATATATATATTTATTTATATATATATATATATATATTTATCTGTATTTCTTTATATTGTATAAAGGTATATGAATGAGAAGGAAAGCTCGCGAAGAGCTATCCAATGCAATGGCAGGGGCCAGTACATCGATTTTGTCCTGGACCATGATCCTTGAGATCGTTTCCCGAGCGCTACACACCTCTAAACGCTTGCCCGAAAACGGCTTAGACGGCTCACCATCAAGCGCAGTTCGTGCTTTGTCATAAGCTAAGCCCTTGTTCCGCAGGCCTGTCGAGTTCACGCCTGGCCCCAAACCCGGCTTAGGGTTCACGTGTATTTGAAGTCTTGGGTTTGATTCGTATTGCTTTGTAACACAGACCTGCAATGTGTTTTGCCTCATACAGCACTACGGGTCCTCGAAAGCACCGGGATGGTGTGGGTGTAGGCTGCGAAGCGAATGCCCCAGTCGCGATGGCGCGGGATGTCCCGCTTCCAAGCGTAGTACCACGTCAAAGCAACGGAAAGCCTGGATTTGGCGCATACTTACCCAAATCACATTCATGATTCCTACTTTAGAAGCCTTACTTTTTACTACTGTATGTAGGTACTTAGGACTTAGGACCCTGTGGGAAGGTGCACGATCACTACTGCTAATTTTCCCGCTGCTCCCATAGATGGATAACGAGTGCGCCCATGCACTAGTCATGCGTATATGGCTATCTATATATATATATATATGACATACATCTCATATATATATATATATATATGTGTGTGTATATATATATATATATGTAGATGATAAAATATATAGACATGTATACACCGACGAAAACGGAAAGACATAGCTCCAAAAGTTGGTCCCAGGGAGCAGCCATAGACCGGAGAGCGCAGCGATGACAGTTTGAAAGTAGACGCTCACTGTGTCAATTTGCCAGGCTAGCCTGTAAGAAGGGTAGATGGTCAAGAGCGTTGATGCAATACCTCTCTGGACGGCTGCAGGGTGCGTAATGTGTTCGTTTGAACTATATCACTATATCTCGTATCAGATGTTCTATCACACTGTCGGTTGGATCTTCTGTTGCACACGTCATATCATATAGTACAAGAAAGCCTCTAAACACTTAGGACCCCTTGCTGGCTGAGCAGGATGCAGATGCGGCCGGTCCAGCGGTGTACTGCCAAACTCTGTCTCCTGACAGGGAACCCAGGAAAAAAACAACAAACAAAACAACACAACTCAGCCACAAACTCGGGAAAGCCCTGAGCCCCGCAAGATACTGCAACATGCCCGGAAGAGAAGGATACCACAAGACAGAGGTGTGCGTGTGTGTGGGTGGGTGTGGGTGTTCGCGTGCATGTGTGTGGGGGGTGCGTATGCGTGTGCGCATGCGTGCGTGTGCGTGTGCGCGCACGTGTGTGCGTGTAGGTGTGTGTGTGTGAGAGAGCGAAACTACGTCTGTAGGCTTGTCCGGGACTCGTACCTTACCAGCTTCCAGCATTGTGTGGCCGACAGTATCAGCGGGGCCGCGGCAGTCAGGATGTGAAAAAAGAGTAGAAACCTTTCCTTGGAGAGAGGGATGCGGTACTTGTCGAAGAAGTACCTTCGTTGCTTCTGTGTAAATTGTAGACTCAGTTGAGACCTACCGATTATTCGATGCACTCCGTCACATCGATAGGAGCCTTCACTTGCAACAACTTTGTCAATGTCGGGGATCCGGGAAAACCAAGGCACACCGGGCGGTAAAGGACATCGTGGCCTGGGGCATCGCCATTCAGCACGTGGTAGTCGAAAAGATTCAGAAAGAAAAGGGCGTCGTACCCGAGCAGCGTCAGCACAACAACGTTTTCCGTCACCATCTAATGCCAGAAAACACACAGGAAGGGTACCGCAACTAAATGTGCAGAATCTGCATCTTCGAGCCATCATGAGGACGGCGCCGAAGGGTGATTAAATTGTCTGGGATGACGTTGCGGAGTAATGCTAGGATCCCGGTAATCATCTTACCGGTATCGCTCAATACTGATCTCGCTGCTTGGTACCACTACAAACATGGAGTACTCATGATAATGCTATCGTTGCTGTTGGTGGTGCTGGTGGTGCTAGTGGTGGTGGTGCTGGTGGTGCTAGTGGTGGTGGTG